AGACCTGAGCCTCAGGTCTTCAGTCTCCAGTCCCAGCTTGTCTGCCACATGCTTTTGTTATCATGTGACCCAAACAGAAACAGATGGGAAATCAAGAATGTAATGTAAATTGGTTCTCTTATTAGGATTCAGCCTCTTTTTGGTAGATCTGTCAAACTTAACTCTGTGAGCCTATCCATAGGGATAGAATGGCCTGTGAAGCATTTTAAAAATAAACTCTATGGGGAGGAAAAAAATAAATAAATAAACTCTATAGGGAGATACATTTTAAATGTTCTTATTAATATTTTATTTTCATAAATGACAAATGACCAGTGATCTAGTATTTCTGTATGTAAGGGGAAAACAAGACCAGAAGGACTTTTCTTTGGGTCTTTCTCTCCTCTTAATAGGAAATATAGATAAATTTCATTCAAACCAAAAGATAAGAAATACCTCTTGGTAGAAGATTACAACACATTGGTTTCCATTTTTATATGTAGTTTAGGTTAATTAGGAACCTTTTAAAATTGAGTGTACTGAAGCTTTAATGTTTGCATAAGTTGGTTGAGCAGTTTTAATTAAAATGTATCTGTATTTTGGGATCAATTACTCCAAGATTAATGAGGCCTAGTCGTGGTGCCTCATATGGTGTGGATACTCAATAAATATTAGTTTAGAAATTAGGAAATACTTGTATTCAGAATCTTGTATATATTATACCATCTTAGATTATTTCTCAAATCTGGGGATACTCAGCCATATCAAATATACTAGTTCAGTTTTTAAAAGTTTTTATTTTGGTTTGATCTCCTTGCTGTCCAAGGGACTCTCAAGAGTCTTCTCCAACACCACAGTTCAAAAGCATCAATTCTTTGGCACTCAGCTTTCTTTATGGTCCAACTCTCAAATCCATACATGACTATTGGAGAAACCAAAGCTATGACTAGATGGACATTTGTCAGTAAAGTAATGCCTCTGCTTTTTAATATGCTGTCTAGCTTCATCATAGCTTTTCATCCAAGGAGCAAGTGTCTTAATTTCATGGCTGCAGTGATTTTGGAGCCCAAGAAAATAGTCTTTCACTGTTTCCATTGTTTTCCCATCTATTTGCCATGAAGTGATGGGAGCAGATGCCATGGTCTTTATTTTTTGAATGTTTTAAGCCAGCTTTTTCACTCTCCTCTTTCACTTTCATCAAGAGGCTCTTTAGTTCTTCTTTGCTTTCTGCCATAAAGGTGCTGTCATCTGCGTATCTGAGGTTATTGATATTTCTCCCGGCAATCTTGATTCCAGCTCTTGCTTCATCCAGTCAAACATTTCTCATGATGTTCTCTGCATATAAGTTAAATAAGCAGGGTGACAATATACAACCTTGACATACCCCTTTCCCGATTTGGAACCAGTCTATTGTTCCATGTCTGGTTCTAATTGTTGCTTCTTGACCTGCATGCAGATTTCTCAGGAGGCAGATAAGGTGGTCTGATATTCCCATCTCTTTAAGAATTTTCCACAATTTGTTGTGATCCACACAAAGGCTTTAGCATAGTCAGTGAAAAAGAAGCAGATGTTTTTCTGGAATACTCTTGTTTTTTTCTATGATCCAACGGATGTTGGCAACTTGATCTCTGGTTCCTCTGCCTCTTTTAAATCCAGCTTGAACATCTGGGTTCTTGGTTCCCATACTGTTGAAGCCTAGTTTGGAGAATTTTGAGTATTACCTTGCTAGCGTGTGAGATGAGTCAATTGTGCAGTAGTTTGAGCATTCTTTGGCATTGCCTTTCTTTGGGGTTGGAATGAAAACTGACCTTTTCCAGTCCTGTGGCCACTGCTGAGTTCTCCAAATTTGCTGGCATATTGAGTGAGCACTTTAATAGCATCATCTTTTAGGATTTGAAATTCCAGCTCAGCTGGAAATCCATCCACCTCCACTAGCTTTGATTGTAGTGATGCTTCCTGAGGCCCACTTGACTTCAAACTCCAGCATGTCTGGCTCTAGGTGAGAGATCACACCATCCTGGTCATCTGGGTCATGAAGTTCTTTTTTGTATAGTTCTTCTGTGTATTCTTGCCACCTCTTCTTAATAACCTCTGCTTCTGTTAGGTCCATACCATTTCTGTCCTTCATTGTGCCCATCTTTGCTTGAAATGTTCCCTTGGTATCTAATTTTCTTGAAAAGATCTCTAGTTTTCCCATCCTATTGTTTTCCTCTATTTCTTTCCATTGATCACTTAGGAGGGTTTTCTTATCTCTCCTTGCTATGCTTTGGAGCTCTGCATTCAGATGCATATATCTTTCCTTTTCTCCTTTGCCTTTTGCTTCTCTTCTCAGCTATTTGTCAGCCTTCTCAGACAACCATTTTGCCTTTTTGCATTTCTTCTTCTTGGGGATGGTTTTGATCACCACCTCCTGTACAGTGTTAAGAATCTCCGTCCATAGTTCTTCAGGCACTCTATCTGTCAGATCTAATAGTTTGAATCTATGTGTCACTTCCACTGTATAAGCCTAAGGGATTTGATTTAGGTCATACCTGAATGGTCTAGTGGTTTTCCCTACTTTCTTCAATTTAAGTCTGAATTTGGCAATAAGGAGTTCATCATCTGAGCCACAGTCAGCTCCTGGTCTTGTTTTTGCTGACTGTATAGAGCTTCTCCATCTTTGGCTACAAAGAATATAATCAGTCTGATTTCAGCATTGACCATCTGGTGATGTCCATGTGTAGAGTCATCTCTTGTGTTCTTGGAAGAGGGTGTTTGAGGTGAGCAGTGCGTTCTCTTGGCAGAACTCTGTTAGCCTTTGCTGTGCTTCATTTTGTACTCCAAGGCCAGACTTGCCTGTTACTCCAGGTATCTCTTGACTTCCTACTTTTGCATTCCAGTCCCCTATGATGAAAATAATACACGTTTGAAGAATACAACACTTGTTGCCTTTAGCTTCTGTTTCCTGATAATTAGGGTGAGGTTATGCATTCTTGATCAGAGTAGTGCACAGGTGATAGTATCTAGAGGCATTGGTAGTCATCTGACCCCACTGGTGATGTTAATTTTGGTCACCTAGTCATGTTTTTCCACTGTAGAGATATTTTTTCCTCTCTTGTAGTTAATAAGTAGTCTGTGGGAAGATGCTTTGAGCCACAATTCCCCTTAGGTCTAGCATCCTTTATTGATCTTTGCCTGATCCAGTCTTTACCATGATGAATGCAGAAAGGGGGTTATCTCATTCTAACACTCCCTCGAGATTTACCAGTTAGTCTTTAGCTTTCTCATGTGAGCAAGGACCCTTCTTCTGCACTTATTTATTATGTATTATCATTGTGGACTCAGGAATTTATATTTTTTTCAATGATTTGTAACTTAATACTATACATAATATTTTGGTTCTTCCCTCGCCCAGATTTGGCTAGTAGATGCTCCTTCAATATCGTTGAAGGCTTCTATATCATTATGATAAGCATGCATCAATTTTTCCCCATCTGTTTTGGAGTACTTCTTCACTTCCTGGTATAGTAAAACGTTCTAGGTTTATCTTGTACCTATCCTGTCCCAACCATGGAATCAAGTATTCCTTGAGGAATCCAGCTCCTTTTAGGGGGAATGGTATTAGACCACTATCTGGGCACTAGTATACTAACTGATACTGGGATGTCTTCTTTTTGGCTCTTTTAGCAGACAAAACTAGGAAATACACATACACACACACACACAAATATACATATTTAAAAGTCATGAGTACATACCAGTGCCTTTCATTTCAAGTGATAACCACAGAGTTACTTTTTTGTCTTTCCCATTCTATGTTTGTATGTCCCCTCTTCCATTCTGAGAGCTATAACTCCCAGCAGCATCAACAAATCAACTCATGTATTCAATCCTGAAATATAGTTTATTAATAGTCTCAGAATTGTTTTACCTGTACTGCTATGGTAAGCACATCTGATAAAGTCTGGGATTTGTTTGCAGTTCTTTCCTTCTTGTCCAAGAGTGAGGGCATATTAGTCAAATATTGTGTTCATAAGTTACTTGGATTAGTTCTTACTTTCATTCTTTCCTTTTTTCTTTCCCTGTAGTGTTTTTCTTTTGAAATAAAATTAGGCTTGTCTGTTTTCATTTGCTTTCAGCTATAAGCTCCTCCCCATTCCCATTCTTATATTTTATGTTTTGAAGATGTAGAGTATTAACATGCTTTCAAAAATCAAAATTATATTTATCCTCCACAATGTTTTAATTTGATTCCCACCTCCCCTTTTATGAAGGAAAAGATATGTTATTAGCAACTGGGCATTTATTGTACCTATGTTCATTTTTGATATTTAAAAGAAATTTTGTCTATTGAGATTAAGATTATAAAGGAATTTAATTTTTGGAAATATACTCCAGGCTCAGTGATTTGTACCTCTGATTCTTGAGGACAGGGGTTCTCCATGAGTTTCCTATGCCAGCACACCGGAGTTAATGTCCAGTGTTATCAGTAACATTCACTCCATGCTCTAGTGATTGGGTGGAGGTGGGAGTGCAGGAGGAACAGGGGTGTCTTCTGGAACCCATTTTGAGAATGCCTGCTTGCTGTAGAGTTCACGAGAGCAGTAGAACCTCCCAAGTACGTTGGTCGGGGAAAATCACAGACCTTTGATACAAAAAAACCAGTTGACTATGTAGTAAGATAAATCAAGCAAACAAACAGAAAAATGTTAGTTCCAGATTAATGTAAGTGGGGAAAAAACCACGTTACTGCCTTAAGTGTGCTACTTCAGATGCACCTTTCTCTGTTTTCCCACAAAGGTGCTTATGTGGGAATTCTGTGACTTAATGAGATTCTCAGTAGCATGTCTGGAAAGTCACACAACCAGATGATTTATCTTCATCCTCTATTTGCCATTTCTAATAACGTGTATATTAGGTTTATAAATCTTTAATCCAAGATATAGCTATGGCATACCAGCTGTAATTTAGCTGGCTGAAAGAACTAAAGGTATCCTGATGGGAAGTGTCATAATATAGCTGTGTTTTCCTCTGTGCCACAGCCTTAATACAGATACTGGCAGCTGCTGTAGCTGAGCGAGACGTGGTTTATTTCACCTTTGGGGACGCAGAATTGATGAGAGACATTTACAGCATGCATACATTCCTTACTGAAAGGAAACTGACTGTTGGTAAGTAGGGGATGGTTGGTGTCTAGATGGATTGTACACCAACCAAGAAGAGCACTTGCTAACTCAGGATAGATCTTAGTGGACAAGAAAGAATGTAAATGTGACTTCAGTGGGGGGTGGGGTGGGTGACAAGGTCTCAGAGGGACACTTGCAGACCTTTTTTTTCTGGGAAAATGTCATCCTCAATATTCAATGAGTATGTCAACTTATCAAATTAAAGCCAAGAAGTTGGAGTAAGTGTCCATTTTTACTTTTGTGTGTATGGAAAACTGAACGAGGGGGTTGGTATTGAAAGGTAAGTTAAAACCTAAGAGGCCTTACTCTGACTCATGTCTGTCAGACAGGCCAGCACATGCTCCATCTACTGTGTTTCAGCTGGACCTGAAAGGCCTTCCTATCATGGGAGCTAAATGTAAAATTAGAGTTGCCATGAACTCCCAAAAGGATGCATGGATGATGTACCATGTATAGCCTGCTGTAGTTATCAGCTAATAAGTAGTTTCTTTAAGGTATTTAAAAAAATTTTAACTTTATATCAGGAAAGCCTTCCAGGCTTATGGAACTCATGCTCTATTTTCAAAAGCCAAATTTGAGCATATGTTATTTGGGATAGAACTGGGGTGTTCTGTAGTAGATTTATTTATCTACATATCTTAATGTGCAAACTGGTCTGGCTTTCTGCTCTTCAGGAGAAGTATATAAGCTGCTGCTACGATATTACAATGAAGAATGCAGAAACTGCTCCACCCCTGGACCAGACATCAAGCTTTATCCATTCATATACCATGCAGTTGAGTCTTGTACACAGACCACCAACCAGCCAGGACAAAGGACTGGGGCCTGAGGAGCCAAGTGACTAGAAGCTCCTTCCACTTCTGTAACATATGAATTGACATAATATACATGTGTATATAATCCTATTTGTAGGCAAGGATGCAGTCCCTTCCACACAAGGAAATTGTCAGTTGGTACATCTACACCTCCTCCATCCCGACTTACATAGACTCAGACATATTTTCTCTTTTTCTTCCTTCTATTTCAGCCTTGATCCTTCGATTTTTCTTTCTTTTGCCCATCAGACTTCTTGTGAAATTTCATCAGAGTTTGTGCTCAGCCTGTCAGGTGTCTTTTTTGATGCCTAAATATTATACAAATCACCTCTGCAGCTAGCAGATGCCAAGGAAGGTGGTGAAATCCTAGGAGCTATTTAACTGAGTCTGCTATAGATCTCCTTGTGAGCCTCTCACCCCCTACTCTTGTTATGATTGTGGTGTTGGAGTTTTTTTTGATTTTTGAAATGAGAGTTGGGTTTGTTACATAATACACATCTCCTAGGTTAAGAGTTTTATATTTAAGAATACTTTCCAAAAAGTTATTTTGAGATATCACCTTTATTTGTAATGGTAATTTGTCTGTCCCTTTTCCCATGATCAGTTTTTATTGAAACTGTTTTTTGAAATTGCATACAAATGAAATATAAGAATAAAAGAGTTTCCCAAATGGTGTTTAAAAAACAAACAGATTCAAGAGACTTGAAGGACCTCGTTTCTTGGGATTCTTTTTTCTTTTTCTTTTTTTGAATTAGGATTATTGTTTGTTCCACGGTGCTTGAAACATATTCATATAACCAAAGTTTAGGAACTGGGAACTTCATGGTGATTTGTACATATTGAAGTTTCTCTGGTACTCATAGGTTATGTAGTTAATAAATTTTCATTAACAAGTCATTTGTCAAACTCTTATATCATCTAATATATATATATATATATATATATACATGTGTGTTCTTTAAGTGTGTCTACATGCAAGCACATAAAATCTAAATAAAACTGGAATTGTGGAAATGATTAGATTTAGGCTTTATTAGGGGCTCTGTTTAAAATCTTTTATTTAAAATTGTGTCCATTTAAAAAAGGCAACAAGCATAAATAATAATGTCTCTCAGAGGTTAAAAAGCCAATGCCAGTTCTGTGCTAATTGAGAGCAGGGTTTAATCGCAAATCACTTATTATTTCTAAAGTAATTCTAAACCATACTGTTCAAGTTCTAGCTTACAGTCAACTGTTAGGAAAAGCTATTGGTGGTCAAATCCTATTAATAAGGAATTTAAATAGATGGTCCAACACCTGGTATTAATATTGGCAGGGTAAAAAGGGGCCTTGGCCAGCATCTGCAGCTCTTTTTATTTATATACAGATGCTAATGGATTGGAGAAGGCAGTGGCACCCCACTCCAGTACTCTTGCCTGGAAAATCCCATGGACGGAGGAGCCTGGTAGGCTGCGGTCCATGGGGTCACTAAGAGTCGGACACGACTGAGCGACTTCACTTTCACTTTTCACTTTCATGCATTGGAGAAGGAAATGGCAACCCACTCCAGTATTCTTACATTAAATCCAGGTAAGACCACCCCCCCACCCCCAGCCTAATATTACAACACACACAATCCAAGACTCAGCTCTTAATGCTGAATAGGTTGGTGACCAGGCCATCTGACTGCCTTACTCCTGTTGAGGGGTTTTCAAGAATAAAACCTGCCTACTATTTTGTTTCAGTACATTCTTGAATTGTGACTGTGTGATCAAATGGAATGTACAGAGAGAACTAATGTCCATTTTTTTGAGGTGGAGATGGAGGTGGGAAGAACTGATTACTTTGTTCCTAAAGCGTTAGTCGCTCAGTTGTGTCTGACTCTTTGCGACCCCATGGACTGTAGCCCACCAGGCTCCTCTGTCCATGGGATTCTTCAGGCAAGAATACTGGAGTGGGTTGCCATTCCCTTCTCCTGGGGATCTTCCCAACCCAGGGATTGAACCCAGGTCCCCCCACTGCAGGCAGATTCTTTACCATCTGAGCCACCAGGGAAGCCCTTGTTCCCAAAGGCCCTGTATAAAAAGGAAAAAAATCAGACATCTAATTAACATATCTATTTTAGGACATGTAGCAGCACCTTTTTGTTCTCTTTCATTAGGGATTATTGTTTTATTTCATGTTGTTTGCCCTTCTCATCTTTAATCTACTGAAGCATGAAAGGATGTTTTTAGTGTAGAATTCTTAGGTTTTTAATATAACCCAACTTACTTTTCACTTTCTGTCTAGCTCACTCAAATGTATAATAATGGTTTAAGGAAACAACGTGGAGTAATGGAAAAGGCATGAGATTTAAAATCAGACAAGCCGGGTTGAGATGCTAGCAATATCCCTAGCTAACATTTTAACCTTCTTTAAATAAAGTGAATTGCTGAGCCGTACTTAACTCATTGAGAAAATGGGCTATTAGTACCTATTGAGAAATACTATATATAAAATGAACACAGGGTCTGGCACATGGTTAGTTCTTAAATGCCAACTATTATAGTTGACCAGGAAACATTTATGGGGCACCTGTTGTATATTAGGGACTGTGCTCATTGCTCTGTGTATTTTAGCCCATTTTCCCCATGGGCTAACAGATGCCCAGATTAGGGAATAACCATCTCAACTCCAGGAGTTCATTATGAAAGAAGACTTAGTTTGTCATATGATACAGCAAAAGCTTTGACACTCTTGATCTCTACCAGGTTCTCAATGTAGCATATTCTTCATCATGAATGACTAGTTATCAGTGGAGTATATTAAATATTCTCAGAGAATTAACTCTTTTCTTGATGGTTGAAGTGACATTAAAGTCAGGGAGAATCAGTATTTAAAAGAGAGATTGTAAAGATCTAACCGAGCTCCAGCTTTGCTATGTCAAATATATTCCAAAGCAATATACAGTGCTTTGGAAACCAAACATTAAGTTGCCCCACTCCAAGAATATGATGGTACAAGAATTCCCTGGATTATAGTCTTAAACACTTCAGCAGGAAGAGAAGCAGTTTCATAGATTCTCACCTGTTTTCTTCTGTCTTCTCCAATCTGTGTGTTCATGGTTCATGTGTTTTTTGATGAAGAAGTGAGTCCTGGGAAGTCTGCTTTAAAGACAAGCAGAGATTTAGAAGGCTTGTATGTCCTTCTCTCAACCCTGTGGATCTGACCCAATCCTTTGTGTAGAGGGAAGGGAAAGACCAGCCATTCCTGGAACTTGAGCTCTGGATATTTAATCCTGTTTTTGGGGGGCAGGAAGTGTGTCCTAATGTGATACTCAATTAGAACAAACTGCCCAAATCCACTGACCCACTACTGTTCTCTGTGCTCACTGGGGTTCCCTTAGTCCCTCCTTCCCAGATTAACACAGATGTCCTGAGCCTTTAGAGTGGAAGGTTTCCCAAACAAGACACCAAAACTGTTTATCTGACAACTGGTTTTACTTTTCCTGACTATATTAAAGGTAGGGCTAACAGGTCATGATGATTTTGAACTGGAGGATAAGGAGTGAAAGTGAAAGTTACTCAGTCGTGTCCGACTCTGTGACCCCATGGACTATACAGTCCAAGGAATCCTCCAGGCCAGAATACTGGAGTGGGTAGCCTTTCTCTTTTCCAGGGATCTCCAAACCCAGGGATCAAACCCAGGTCTCCTGTATTGCAGGCAGATTCTTAACCAGCTGAGCCACACAAGGGAAGCCCAAGAACACTGGAGTGGGTAGCCGATCCCTTCTCCAGGGGATCTTCCCGACCCAGGAATTGAACCTGGGTCTCCTGCACTGCAGGTGGATTCTTTACCAACTGAGCTACCAGGGAAGCCCGAGGATAAGGGGAGATCTGTGCTAACATTTACATGATTTTTCTAGGAAGAGAATAAAGAAATTCTGGCCCCCTTGTCAACAGCTCTTTAACATACATGCCCTCATTTTTAAAATATATTGTGTGTCTGAGGCATTTGTTTAAAATTTTCACATGTAGATTTGTTAGTCCACATTCAGTGTTAGGCATGTAGAAATGGCCACTGGCCTCAGGACTCTTCCAAAGGTAAAGAGAATGCTGACTGCACTAGTTTATCTTCCTTGCCTGGTTCCTAAGGTCATGTTTCCTTTCATTCCCTTTTCCTAGTTTCCATCTTCCCTCAAAAGAGCTCAAATCAGGGAAGATATCTTGAATTCATTCATTCACATATTCATGGACACTTAAAAGTGCTTACTTTGGGCAACCACTGAACTCTGTTCAGGGATGCAAAGATGAATGACTTGTCCTCTGCACACAGATCTAAACTAAGGCACAGAGAGAAGGTGAGTGATATAAAACCCTACAAATTGCATCTTCTTTCCACTACTTCATTTCGGCTCAAATCTAGAAAAACCAACTGAATTTTTATGTTAACAGTTTTAGAAACATGAATAGGCCCATGGGTAATGTCAGATCACCACTGTTTAGCACTCTTACACAGCTTTCTCTGTTGGAGAGGTGTATAAACAAATGGCTAACTTAGAACATTAAGATGGGCGATCTAACTGACCTTTCTTGACTTAATATGGGTGCTGTCACTCAGCTCGTTGTCATCTCAAGTGCCTGCCGTCTCTGGTTCTTGGATTCTGAGAAAGAGACACTGGAGGCTAAAAAGTAGATTTCCTAATAGAAATGTTACTTTTCCCTATGATGAGTCCATACAAGGTCAGTAGAAGGTCAGCTTTCTTTTATTTTAGTTGGAATTATTAATATATTGCCTCAGTTTGAATATGCATATTTAATAGATGAAAAATGAAAATTAGCTTTTACTTGATATCAAGTAAAAAAAGGAGTGTTACATGGTATCAAAATATTTCAAAGTATGGGAACCTTGGGAATAAAATAATAAAAGGGTCCTTGGTGGTATAAAGATGGGAGACCATGTTAGAATGCTGCTTTTTCCATTAAGATTTGTCACAATTACATATAAGGTTGGGCTTAAAATTTCAATATTTAGGAAGAAATATACTCATTGTAGAATTTATAATACTCTCAAAACTATATCCTGATCTGCTCTTGAATATGTATGAAGCCTCTTCATCAGAATCTTGGCCTCACAGTATTTTAGAATATTTATTCCACAGATAACTGTATTTTGTTAATTCTTAAATAAACATTTTTCACATTGTAGCATCTGAAATCCAAGTACTTTTAAAATAGTATATCATAATTTACTTTGCAGCGTTTTTTAATGATACATAAAAGTATTTTTGTAACATTAAAGTATTTTGACAGGCTTCTCTGGTAGCTCAGATGGTAAAGAATCTGCCTACAGTGCAGGAGACCTGGGTTTGATCCCTGGGTTAGGAATATCTCCTAGAAAAGGGAATGGCAACCCACTCCAGTATTCTTTTTTTTATTTTTCACTCCAGTATTCTTGTCTGGAGAATCTCATGGACAAAGGAGCCTGGTGGGCTACAGTCCATGGGGTCACAAAGAGTTGGACACGACTGAAGGACTAGCACACACAACAGTATTTTATATCTGTGGCATCTTATATTTGAGAAAACATGGTAATTAGAGTGCCAACCATAAACCAGTGAGTTTTAAGCTTTGGAGCTGTAATTGTGACAAGGATAGACGAGATCGTTGTTATCAAGTTTATATTGTAATGGACAGCACAGACAAGAGACTGTAATATAACTTAGACTGGGTAGTCAGGAAATGGTTTTCTTTTTAATAAGAATTTCAGATATACAAAAATAAAGCAGAGTAATAAACCTCTACATATGTATTATTGCTTATCTTCAACATTTAGCAACTCATAGCTAATCTCACTTGCTCCATGTTCCTATTACCCACTCCAGTTTTTTTAAGTGTTTTTTTAAAAAAACACAAGATTTAACGAGATCCAGAGCAATAGGGAGGGATGGAAAATATGTAAAGCAAAAACTGACAGAAATGAAGGGAAATAGACAAATATAAAATTTTAATTAATCACTTCATATCCCTCTCTCAACAATTTATTAAACAACTTAA